ACACAAAATAAGTAAAGATATATATATATATATATAAACAATAAAAACCTACAGTGTTGAAAAGAGATCATTTTTCTAGTGCATGTGTTAAGCTCTTCCTGCCCCGAAAGACATTATTTGCTTCCAGTATGAAATCAGTATGTGTGTGTATTGATGGATATCTGTAAAGTAGTGAATTCACTTTAATTCCAGGAGTTATTCCACATAATTCTTTTTTTCTTCCCCTCTAGACTTCTTCAGAGAACCCTGGGACAGTAGGTGGAGTGCAAAGCTGTATTGTGTTGCTTTCCTGCTTTTTTTGTTGCCTTCCTGCCCCCCACCCCTTGGCTGTTACTTTCTCTGCCATTAAAACTAACTAAGCCCCACATGTATTGTCATTATAAGGGGGCTGGAGACCTTTCATTTCAGTCCTGTACAAGTATCACGTCAGCTATGTTTCATGTCAAATCCTTAGTATCAGGATTGTCCCTAAAGTAACACCATGATAGGCAGAATAGAATCTCACCTCTGTTCCAAAAAATTCCTCCCATTTCAGAGCATCCTCTCTCTAATGTCCCTTCCCCCCACCTCAATCACTTCCAATGTTCCACAGTTATTTACAGTCCTTTTTATGCAGGGAGAAAATATGATAAACAGACACAAGGTGTCAACACTTGAACTGCTCCTTCTCTGAACTATTTAGAAAACTGTTGGGAGAGGGTAATGTTTAACAGGATAATGACTTCCTTAATGGTGGAATTCCTTGCTTCAGTGATGCAGAATCATGCATATTGAGAAGACATCCACATTGTGTGTACGTGTGAGCTTTTAAAGATTTTGACCTGGTTCTTATTTCAAAATTTGTCATAAATTCTTAAGATGTCAGGTTGGTTTGGTTTATTTGGTAATTTAAGTTTTGGATTTTGGTGTTTGATGTCCATGTGATGTCAGGAGTCGGATTTGTCTGCATGTTGGCTCATCGTAGCTTTCATCCTTTCCAACTGCCACAGGAAAGGGGGAGGGGACATTTTTAGAGGTTATACTGAAATAACAAATTGGCTGTTCCCTTCCCTCTGTCCTCTTCATGTAACAGAAGAAGCAGAGCAGCCCTCTGGAGACCCAGGCATGGTCATGGACAGTGTGGAAGCAGGAGACACAACGCCTCCCACCAAGAGAAAAAGCAAGTTCTCCGGTTTTGGCAAGATCTTCAAGCCGTGGAAATGGAGGAAAAAAAAAAGCAGTGATAGATTCAAAGAGACATCAGAAGGTAAGATAGTAAGATTTGAATATGTGTTCTGAGGGGGTGAAGGGTGGAGCTCATTTGGTAGAGTGTTTGCCTAGTGTACACAACATCCTGGGTTCTTCCCCAATACCATGTAAAACCCAGACATGATACTGCAGTCCTGCAATCCAGCAGAGACGTGGAAGCAAAAGGATCAGAAGTTTAAGGTCATTCTTAGTTATGTATCAGTTTCAGGCCAACCTGGGTCTCAAAAAATACAGGCTCTAAATTAAAATTCTTTTGTTTGTGCACTGGGGAGATAGCTGAGCAGATAAAGTACTTTTTACACAAAATGGGGACCGGAGTTTGAATCCCCAGAACCCACATAGACTGAGATGCAAGAGACACACTTCTGGAGTCATTGCTTCTATGGGTGATAGGGACAGATACAGGACAAGCTCCAGAAGCTCCAGGGCCAGCTGGCCTGGCTTGGGCAGTGGGAAAAACAGCAAGAACTCGCACCCAAGGTTGACCTCTGACCTTCACAAACATACACATACGCATTAACATTGTACACACAGAGTTTGTTTGACTTTTTTGGTTTTGTTTTGTTGTGTTTTTGTTTGGGGGTTTTTTGAAACAAGTTCTCACTTATGTAGCCCTGGCTGGCTTTGAACTCACAGAGCTCTACCTGGGGTGCTAGAATTAAAGGCATGGGACACTATACCTAATTTATAAAGATTTAAAAAGAAAAAAGCTTGGGGCTGGAGAGATGGCTCAGCAGTTAAGAACACTGACTGTTCTTGCAGAAGACCCAGGTTCGAATCCCAGCACCCACATGGCAGCTAACAACTTTCCATAACTCCAGTTCCAGGGGATCCGACAAACTCTTCTGTCTTTTGCGGGCATTGCATGACACGGATACACTTACCTACATGCAGGCGATATGTGCATACACAAAAAAAAATAAAAATATTTTTTTTAAAATGTGCATGGTGGATGGTGGCACACGCCTTTAATCCCAGCACTTGGGAGGCAGAGGCAGGAAGATCTCTGTGAATTCAAGGCCAGCCTGGTCTACATAGTGAGTTCTAGGCCAGCTCAGGCTACAGGGAGACCCCGTCTCAAAAAGACCAAAAATAATAATAATAATGATAATAATAATAATAAGTATGATCTTGAATTTCTGATTCTTGTGCCACTACCTCCTGAGTACTGGTGTTACTAGATCCAGCTTATACAATGCTAGAGACAGAACCTAAGACTTTGTGCATATGAAGCAAGTATCTACCAACCAAGCAACATCTCAAGCCTGAGTCCTGGATTTTAGAAGCACCCAGCTTTTTCGTTTCTGTCCAAGCTTCTATGACCTCCTAAGTGAAAAGCCTAATCTTTGAGAACTTTTTTTTTTTAATTGTCTGTTTGAGACAGGGTCTCCCTGTAGCCCCAGCTGGCCTGGAACTCACAGAGCTCCACCTGCCTCTGCCTCCCAACTGCTGGGACTAAAGGCGTACACTACCACACCCGGCCAATCTTTGAGAATTTAAACAGACAAATATCATTCAATGAGCTTTTACTCTTTCTCTTTTTCTTTCTTTCCTTTATCTTCCCTCCCTCCCTCCCTCCCCTAGTACTAAAGATTGAACCTAGGAACCAAAGGCCTCAAATATGCTAAGCAAGTGCTCTACCCCTAGCCATCTTTGGGTTTTTTGAGGCAGGGTCTTGGAATGTAGCCTTGAATGGCCTGCTACTCACTTTGGTTGCCAAGGCTGGCCTCATATTTGTAGCAGTCCTCCTGCCTCAGCTTCTAAAGTTCTGTGATTACAAGTATCCACCATGATTTCTGACTTTTTTAAAAAACTGACTTATTTATATATTTATTCGGGGTGGGGCATGACTGTATGTGGAGGTCAAAGGATAACTTTTGAGAGTATGTTCTCTCCTTCCACTATGTGGGTTCCAGACTCAAACGCAGATCATCAGGCTTGACTATAAGTGCCTTCTATACACTGAACCCTTTAATTTTGACACAGGTTCTCACCAGATTGCACAGGCAGCCTCGAATCTGAGATTGCAGGCTTGCATGACCAGTCATGGCTGAGATTTATATTCTATAACTCATTCCTAGGTTTTCGTGTTTTGTTTTATTTTTGTTTTTGTTGTTTGTGTGTGTGATTGCTTGCTTGTTTATTTGGTTTTGAGACAGGATCTCCATGTAGCCCCAGCTAGCCTAGAACTTGCTATATAGACCAGACTGGCCTGGTTCTCACAGAAGTCTACCTGCCTCTGCCTCCCAAGTCCTAGCAATAAAGGTGTGTATCACCATGCCTGGCCTACATTTGTATTTTGATGGGATTAAATCTGTTAACTAAAACAGATGTAGTATTGTACACTTGTAATCTCAGTACTTGGGAGGCAGGAGCATGAGGATTACCTCAAGTGCAAGGGTAGCCTGAGCTACATATTGAGTTCCAAGCCAGCCAAAGCTGCATTGTAAAACTCTTATCTCAAAAATAGATAAATAAAGTAAAGGGACCAGACTAGCGTACAAGACTCTTTCTCAAAAAATTAAGGTCTCTTCAGTGGTAAGTAGAGTTCCTGCACTGTAGCACATCTAAGGTGCTTCTTTATACTTTGCCCACTTCTCATCAAAAGTGCATCCATAAATACCTTACTATTGAAACCTCTGATAACCTACAATTATGTGAGTTTACCTTCTTTCAGAAATAATACTTTTCCTAACACTAGTTATTCAAGAAGATGCTTTGTTGTTTTTTATTTTTAGTTCTGGGTGTGGAACCTAGGGCTTTGAACATGGTAAGCAAGTACACTACTGTTGATAATAACTTCTCAGTCCCAGAAACTAATTGTTTTGTTTTGGTCCAAATCTTGCCATGTATCAGTAGCTGGCACTGTGTAGTCCAGGCTGACCTCGAACTTCACAGCAGTCTCCACAGCTACCTCTCAAGTATAGATTTTATTTTGTTGGGTTTGGGTTTGGATTGTTTTGGGCTTTTTTTTTTTTTTTTTTCTGGTCTTTTTGAGACAGGGTCTCCCTGTAGTCACAGCTGGCCTGGAACTCACTATGTAGACAAGGCTGACTGGCCTTGAAGGCACAGAGATCCACCGCCTCTGCCTCCTGAGCACTGGGATTTTAAGGTGTGTCCTAACACCAGGGGTTTGGATTGTTTTGCATGACAGAAAGTGTCACGCAGCCCAGGTTAGGCTAGAACTTCTTATGTAGCTGAGGCTATCCTTGAACTGATCCTCCTGCCTTCACCTCCCAAGAGCTGGGATTACAGGCATGTGCCAACCACCCTCAGCTAAGTTTTTAAATTTGAAGCTAGTTTCCCTGTTCTTTTCTTTCCTAAGAATAGAAGTATGAACACTTTACTTTTTTACCCATGGATTTAGAATGCTGAGTGATGTTGAACTTCCAACTGCCACATTTCTGAGCGGTATTTTCCAATTTAATGTTAGTTTTAGAGCGAAAAATATCTATGCGAAAACCAAGAGAAGAGCTGGTTAAAAGAGGGGTTCTGTTGGAAGACCCTGAGCAGGGTGAGTTTCAAATACATAGCATATGCCTGTCTCTGTGCATTTGGTCTTTGGGTCTAACTAGGAGTCTGAATTTCCTTCCTTTGCTTTGCTTTGCTCTTGCTGTGCTTATGGTGGAGGGGCACTTGAAAGTGGTTCACTGTTCCTTCCCAAGTATCTGGCTGCACTCTCCAACTGTGAAGTAGAGTGGTTGAGGAAGGATCTGGAGGCAAGCATTCCTTGTCTCTGTATATCCTCAGCTTTGTGCCACCTGCAATAAGGGGTGTTATTTCCTTTTTTTGATCAAGTTTCTCTGGGTGCCTATATTACTGGCCTAATCTTTTTGTCACAAAGATCATATTTTGATATTTCAACATTCTTTGCTAGTTTAGTGTTGACTTTATGAAGCAGTTGATTACACATGTAAAACGTGGTATCACATATCGGTTCATTTCATGCTCTTGGGTTTCACCTGTGCCGCAGTTTACTTCTGCACAGTTGCCTTCTTGCCCCACCCACTCTTACAAATAAAAAGTAGGGGCTGAAGCAGGTAAGAGCACTTCTGCTTTTGCGGAAGGCTGGGCTTCTGGTCCCAGCACCCACATGGCCGCTCACAACTGTTTGTAACTCCAGTTCAGGGGATGCAATGCCTTCTGGCCTCCACTGGCACCAGCCACATAGGTACATGAAGGAAAAACACACGTACGCTTAATTTTTAAAAAATTTTTTGTTCTTTTCAGGATTTTTTTTTTTTTTTTGAGACAGGGTCTGTCAGTAGCCCCAATTGACCTGGAACTTGCTATGTAGACCAGGTTGACCTGGACTCCCAGAAACCCTCCTGCCTCTGCCTCTCAAGTCCTAGGACTAAAGGCATGTGCTAACACGCCTGGCATAAATGTTTTGTTTTTTTTTTTTGTCTTTTTGAAGCAGGGTCTCCCTGTAAGCCCCAGCTGTCCTAGAACTCACTGTGTAGACCAGGCTGGCCTAGAACTCACAGAAATCCACCTGTGTCTGCCTCCCAAGTGCTGGGACTACAGGCGTGTGCCACCATGCCCGGCGATATAATTTTTTTTAATAAACATAAATAAAATTAAAAGTGCAGGGCCAGTAAGATGGCTCTTTAGGTAAAGGAAGCTGCTGCTAAGCCTGACACCTGAATTCAGTCCTGGGAACTCACATGGAAGGAGAGTCTTGTAAGCTATCTTCTGACCTCTACAGATACTCCATGACACATGTGTGCCCATGTGCATACACACACACACACACAGAAATAAGTTTTAAAATGTAATAATTTTTAAAAATAAATAAAAAATAAAAACTACAGCTGGGCATGGTGGTGCATGCCTTTAATCCCAGCACTTGGGAGGCAGAGGAAGGAGGATTGCTTATAAATTCAAAAATCGGCCTGATATATCTAGAGAGTTCTAGGCTAGCCAGGACTACATAGCAAGACTCTGTCCGCAAAAGCTAATTTAATTAATTAATTTTATTTAATAAAAAAAATCCACCAGGTGTGGTGGCTCATACTTGTAATGCCAGAAACACCTTGGGGGCAGAGGCCAAAAGATCCTGAGTTCAAGGCCAGTCTGGTATATGAGAGCCCACCTCAAAAATAAGTAAAGAAAAAGCAGTTTCTGGTCTCTTTAGCTTTGGAAGTACATTTTTTTACTTATTGTTTTTTTTTCTTCACTACTTTTACACCAAACTCCAAACTCCACTGCTTGCTGAGACTTCCTGAATGAGACGAATACGCTAACAGGAAGTAGTGTGCCCGGGTCAGAGGAACTGCTCTGTGAGAACTTAATGGTCTAAATCTGAAAATGTCACAAGATAAGCGCCCACACACACAGACACATAAAGAAAAATAAAATAATTTTTAAAGTATCAACAAGGCACTAAAATGACATTACTCAAAGCAAGGACACTACCTGGAAAACAGCTAACGCCAGCCCCCATGACATTAGAAAGTTGAGACAGTGTCAGTCTCTCACCGCAGTATTTTCAGCTTTATCTTCTAATTAAGTCTAGGCACACTGTGCAGGAACTTGGAATGTTTTGTCTAATAGTTGCATGAAGGAATCTCACCTTCTCTTGTAGCAGTGAGTGCTCATCACAGGGCTTCCCACATCTCCAGGCTAGGGACCAGCCCTATAATTTAGTCTGTAGGAAAGTGTCACGTATATCATATATCGTGTTGTCAGTGATTTATCCTTTAGTCCCCCTGGCTCTCCTCTTTTACCACCTTTCTGTTACACCCTGGTATCTTTTCGTGTACATTAAAACAGGAGTTTACTATTGTTTTTCCTGTTCAGTCCCTGCCTGTCTGTAATCCAGTCTCCTCACAGCTTTCAGAGCCAACCTTCTGTAAGATGAAATGACATCACTCTGCTGCTTGTAATTGTTCAGCCTTTTGTTACATATAGGAATCATTTCTAGCTCCTTTACATGGTGTTTAATTGCCTTTATATCCTAGTACCTGCTTACCTTTCTAGCCAAGTATACCTAATGTATACCTAATCTCCCACCAGACCTAACTAATTGCATTGATAATTTCACACCTTTCTGTATACTGTTGTTTCTTAATTAGACCGTCTTTCATCACTGTGGGAAGCTGCTGCTCCTTTTTCAGGACCCAGCTTGGATTCTACTTTCTGGGATGCGCTCCCAAACCCATTCCCACCCCCAAAGCATGGTTTCTTCAGTCTTACCATAGCCTTTCTCTCAGCCTTTTCCACCTCATGCTGGATATTGATCCCAGTGCTTTACATATGCTAACCAAGCACTCTACCACCAAGCTATTTCTTCAGTCTTACCATAGCCTTTCTCTCAGCCTTTTCCACCTCATGCTGGGTATTGATCCCAGTGCTTACATATGCTAACCAAGCACTCTACCACCAAGCTGCACCCCCACCTTCATATAGCTGTTACCATTTAGCAGTGCTTATGTATAGCACATTCTTTTTATAGCATGGTACTTAGCACCAGACAATGAATTATCTTTTGGCAAAAGAGTTACTTCTGTTATTACTAGAAAGATCTAGATAACATAGCTCTCAATAATTAGCCTAAACAGGAAGAAGGAGCTAAGAGTAGATAAGAGGTTAGGAACTACCCACTCTTTCAGCTCTGACCATCCCAATTCCATCTCTTAGCTCTTTCCTTTTCTTCTTGCAGGTGGTGAGGATCCAGGAAAGCTGAGCCATGCCTCCTTAAAGAATGGCCACACCACGCCCATAAGCAGTACTAGATCGTCTAGTCCAGTCCTGGTAGAAGAAGAACCAGTAAGACTATCAAGTCTTAGAAATCTTGTTCCAGAAGAGGATTCAAAGAAGAGACTAGGTAAAAGTGGATCTTTGAGTTCAAAAGCCATAAATGGGCTGTAGAAATAACTCAGTGGTTAAAAGCACTGGCTGCTCTTACAGAGGACCCAGGTTTGGTTTTCAGCACCCTCATGGAGGCTAACAATCTTGTGTACCTCCAGTTCCAGAGGATCCAGTGTCCTCTTCTGGCCTCTGTGGGCATTGCATGACACCTGTGCACTTATATACATTCAGAAAAAAACACTCAAACACATTAAAAAAAATTTTTAAGCCATAGACTGTTTTCATTTTCCTCAGAGGTTTACAAGAGCACACAGAGAAAATCCAGGGGGAATTTCACGTTCTTTAGAAACTACTGACAACTTGCAGGTTTCAGCAGACTCTTCTCCCCCTCATTCTTACATTCTCAGAATACGTAATTTATTTTTTTTTTTTAATTTTATTTTTGTTTTTGACAGGGTTACTGTAGTCCTAGTTGGTCTGGAACACCCTTTATAGACCATGCTGACCAGGAACTCAGAGAGATCCACCATGCCCAGTCCTCCATTTGTTGTTTTTTTTTGTCTTTTTCAGACAGGGTCTCCCTGTGTAGCCCCACCTGACCTGGAACTCACTGTGTAGATCAGGTTGGCCTTGATCTCACAGAGATCCACCTGCTGCCTGATTTGCTGGGATTAAAGACATGCACTGCTATACCTAGCTCCCTTCATTTTTGAGATAGTATTTTACTTCTGTAACTCTAGCTAGCCTGGTATTCACAATGTAGCCCTCAGCTAGACTCAAGCTCAGGGTAATCTTCGTGCCCCAGCCTCCAAAGTACTAGATGTACAGCTGTGAGCATTCGGCTCTCCTGTAGGACTTTTTCATTCCACATTCTTCTTGCTCTATGGAAGGAATTTTGTATCCATGTGTGGTTTGTGTTCATATTTGTGTATGTGTACACATATGCATGTTGGTGCACTTAGAGGCCAGAGGTCAGCATTGAGTGTCTTCCTCTCTCCACTTTTTTTTTTTTTGGTCATCTTTTTGAGACAGGGTCTCCCTGTAGCCCCAGCTGTCCTGAAACTCACTATGTTGACCAGGCTGGCCTCAAACTCACAAAGATCTGCCTGCCTCTGCCTCCCAAGTGCTGGGATTAAAGGTGTGCACCACCACGCACAGCTAATCCACTTTTATTTTTTAAGAAATGGTTTCTCACTAAACCCAGAACTCACTGACTGGTTATTGAACTCCAGGGATCTACCTATTTCTTCTCCCCCAGAGTTAGCATTTCTGTAGATGTGGGGATCTGAACTCAATTCTTAGGCCGGTGTGGCAGTGCTTTACTGACTGAGCCATCTCCTCATTCCCTGTCCGAGAAATTTCGATGTGTCTTCAGTAGCAGGGCTCTGGTTTGAAGAATCACTACCCTTACTGAGCCTCTATTGCTGACCTTCCTTAAAAGGCATTGTTGAAGGTGGCAAACATTGGAAACTATAGTTTGTAAACTAATCTATAAATTAATTGATGAAGTTGATAATAAATTCATAGATGTGTTCACATTTTGGTCTCTACTTTTATTTATTTATTTATTTTTGGTCTTTTTGAGACAGGGTCTCCCTATAGCCCCAGCTGGCCTGGAACTAGTTATGTAGACCAGGCTGGCCTCGAACTCTCAAAGATCTGCCTGGCTCTGCCTCTGCCTCCCAAGTGCTGAGACTAAAGGCATACGCCACCATGCCTGGCTTGGTCTCTCTTTTTAAATCATATCTTTTCTTATGCAGGCTCAACTGGAAGCCAGACTAATTCTGAAGCAGAATCTGCTCCTGAAAATGTACCTAAACAGCCTTTACTGCCCCCCAAAAGACCATTGTCCTCTTCTTGTGAAGCAAGTGAGGGGCAAGCAAAGGATGTTACTTCTGGCAGTATGGCAAGGGCCATCTCCTCAACTTTCGGCTCCTCCAGCACTGTAGCACCTGCTGCCACCGTTGCTGCCACCAGCATAACGAAGACTGTTGTTAATTCCTTCGTCACCCCTTCCCCAGCACCCAGGACTTTATCTGCTGCTCCTGCCAGCAGCAGCACTACACCCACCCCAAGTCTTACTCACACAGTTCCTGCCAAGCAGCCCCCAATCCCACCCCCTAAACCAGCTCACAGAAATAGCAACCCTATCATTGGTAAGTCTTTAGGTTTTATATTTGAAGGTTTGGTTTAGGTTTGGATAGCTTTTTATTGGATAGCTATTACATTATTGATTTAGTCTATGAAAGTTTTCTATCATCCCTTTGAATATCCTCATATAGAGAAAAGGGTTTTTTATTTATTTTTCATTAAAAAGTTGTATTTATTTATTTTACATATATGAGTATTTTCCCTGCACCACGTGCCATCCTGATATCTGCAGAGAGCAGAAGAAAGCACCAGATCTTCTGGAACTGGAGTTGCAGACCGTTAGCTGTCACGTGGGTGCTGCTAACCTGGGTCTTCTGCAGCAGGAGTAGTTGCTCTAAACTGCTGAGCCATCTCCCCAGCCCCGACAAAGAAAAGTTATAAGAATGAGACAGGGGGCTGGAGAGATGGCTCAGTGGTTAGGAACACTGGTTGTTCTTGCCGAAGACCCAGCTTTGAATCCCAGCACCCACATGGCAGCTAACAACTG